AATATCCTCTCTATCTACTCAGTTATTTTGTGCACGATCGTCGTATTTAATATAAAATTATTTAAATTCACCTGGTGGTACTGTATTCTCGGAGGACTGCCCTTGCGTTTCGCTTTCTGTCTTTTCCGGTTTCTCAACTGTCGGCGCAGCGGCATTTGATTCTGGAGTATTTGGAGGCGGCGGCATGTCTGATAAGTCGATCGTGTCCCCGGCGTTTACCGCTGAGATAACCATATCAAACTGCTTCGCTACATTTACGCATTGCAGAGCCTCTTTCATGTTCCCAGCTCTTTTCCATGCCACCGCTGCTATTTTATATTCCTGCTGCCTCTGTTTTAATAATTGTAACGCTTCTTCATCTACCGTTTTTGGAGCAGCAGGTTCCTCGACAGTATTAGTTTCCACAGGCGAAGTGGTATCGACCTCAGCCGCTGTGGCTGGTTCTGTAGGAGATTTCGGTTCTTCATGAGTTTCCGGTGGTTCCTCTGATTCGTCGGCTGTGGCATGCGGAGGTAATTCCGGTGGTATAACACTTTCATCAACAGGCTTCCCTGCCTGAGCGTTAGTCAATAATTCTTTCAGAGTTCTAATGCCCCTGGCGTATCTTCTCGCTTTGCTTGAATCATTCTTCTCTTTCGCCTTCCTCTCAGCTATGTGATATAGCCTTAATCTTCCTTGTAATAATGTAGTCATACTATCTGTGGACGCGCCATCCTCTTGTGTTTCTGATTGTTCTGTGCTCTCGGGAGGTTCATCTGGAGATACTTCCTTTGAAGATTCATTCTCAGTGATCATCTTCAGTTCGCTCTAGAATTATAATTCTTATAATCATTGTTACAAATAATAATAAAAGATTGAAGGGAGTAAGAAACAAAGAATAGAATTTATACCAATAAGTCTGGATCATCTTCTCCATCCGATACCTCTTCTTCAATATTTATATCCTTCAGACTCTCAGCTATCATCACATCAAATTCCTCTTTAGGAACTGGTTTATTACGTGCTACATAGAAAAGTAATAAGTTGCATTAACAAAGTTTTGTATTAAATTTATTCAATTTACCACAGCCGACTAGAGTCAACTGTGAATGTACTTATTAATAATGAATTTTTACCACGTTTAGATTTGACAACTTCATCATCGCCAGCTGTCAAAGCTGCCAATTCAGCTTCTAAATCATCGTCATCGACACCATCCATAAAATTGTTACCTATCTCATCTAAGCTTCTTGGTACCTCGAAAATGCCGAACTGTAAAGAAACGGAAACTCCAAATGATGAAAAAGTAAGGTTAAAAGTATTCGAACGTGATACCTGTTCAAGACTACCAGGAGGCCGTGGTGGACGTTTCGGTTTCTCTTTCTTTCCGAACATGTCGCTTTATAAAATGTAAATTATCAGGAATCAATTAAAGATTGAGGAAATATGAACACTTGAACTGGCTAAAACATCACGCCTACACGATAATAGCACTGACACGACTGACACTGACATGCAAATGCGCAAAATGCGTGCGCTGGCACGAGTATGCGTCATCAGCTGTGGCGCGCATAAACATTAGCACAAAATGTCGCTTTTTAATAACAAGTCTAAAACACGTTTTCCAGTAACTTAAACCAATTAATGTATAAATAATAATAATATCACAAAATTTATGTGTATTATTTTATACAGGGACGAGTATAAATTGCTTTCATAGACGAAGGTGGGTAAAATTCTGCCCGTAAAGGGGGAACAGTCAAATCGGCAATTTTCTCATGAATAAACACAGAGAAAATTTTCTCTCTGCTAAAAATAGGATAAAAGTAGTCATTAACTTCTATCGATTTAATAAAAGCGACGCATGTTCAAAAGACTCAGAATTCTAATTTTATTTCATTTCGATTAATCGAAATCACCTGAGAATTTGGCCTGAGGATCTTTTATGGTCCGCAGCAAACTTCTCGCGAGACAGTCATATGATCGACTGTGATCGACACGAAAAAGGGCGAGTCCGATTTAGACATTGACGGGTCCGTATTTCGAGTAGTGCGTTTGTTAGAAACCGCCCGAGATGAAGGGTTGCATGTTCAACATCGACGGAGGATATTTAGAAGGCCTCTGCCGAGGGTTTAAATGCGGGATCCTCCAGCAAAGTGACTATCTCAATCTCGTACAATGCGAGACTCTCGAAGGTATATTTTTATCCGTATACAGAGCCACTTGCCAAAAAACAGTAGGGGTTCTTCGAAAATATGACTATTCGATTAATTATTAAGAGTTTCTCGATTTCTACAGATCTAAAATTGCATTTGGCCGGCACCGATTACGGTAGCTTCTTAGCTAACGAACCGTCGCCACTCTCTGTCAGTGTGATTGACGATAAACTGAGGGAAAAGCTGGTTGTTGAATTTCAACATATGCGTAATCATTCTGTAGAGCCTCTGTCGCAGTTCTTAGACTTTATTACGTACAGTTATATGATCGATAATATCATCTTGTTAATTACTGGGACTCTGCATCAAAGGCCGATCTCAGAATTGATTCCTAAGTGTCATCCTCTTGGCAGCTTCGAACAAATGGAAGCTATTCATGTAGCGACTACCCCAGCTGAACTTTACAACGCAGTACTAGTAGATACTCCTCTAGGTACAGAATATCATTTAAATGAACCATCGTTAGACTGTGGATTCTCATGCAAAATAAAACTTGTCGGATATCAATTTAAGAAATCTTCATTAAGAATGTTTTTTGATTCTTTCAATATGTTTTTTACATACTCAATTTTGCTATAAATTGCATGAAATTCACGATCTATCCATAATCTTTTTATGTAATACTCGTTGTTACATTTAATGAAATTACAGCGCCGTTCTTCGTGGATTGTATCTCTGAACAAGATTTGAACGAGATGAACATTGAGATAATCAGGAACACATTATACAAAGCTTATCTGGAAGCGTTTTATAAATTCTGTAAAGAAATTGGTGGGACAACTGCTGACACCATGTGCGAAATACTTGCGGTATGAAATTGTTTATCATTGATCAGATTTAATGAAAATTTGCAAAAAGTAAGACAAGTTCTTTTTGTTCGACTTGATGAATTGACAGACGGAATATTGTCTTCGCAGTTCGAAGCTGACAGACGAGCAATTATTATAACTATTAATTCTTTTGGAACCGAACTGGGTAAAGACGATAGAGCGAAATTATATCCACGTTGTGGAAAATTAAACCCTGACGGGCTAGCAGCTCTGGCGAGAGCTGACGATTACGAACAAGTGAAAGCTGTAGCAGAATATTTTGTCGTAAGTGTACTCTTTAGAATTGAGAATCAAAGTTCCTGTCGAGAATATGTTTATATTTATAATTCGAAGGTGCAGGTAACAATCCTGGAGACAAAACGTTAGAAGATAAATTCTTTGAATACGAGGTAAATTTCCTAGTACTTCCTCTGTCCGATAATAATCGCAGTTGATGAATTTAATTTATCCCAATCACTGGACAATCGCAACTTGATCTTTGCATGAAAAGTCTATTTTTTTCATCTTATTTTTACAATGGGTTGATATTCAACTAAAATAAAAATGAAACATTGATTTTGATTGAAGGCTTTGCAATTTTGCGCTGCAATATAACTTATGGCATTCGCTAATAATTTGAATTTGAATATTCACTTGCTATTATTATTATCATGGGACAAAGAGAGTATTATAAAATTAACACACGTTCAGATACAAATTAATATCGATGTTACTATCGTAGGTTCGTTTGAACGTTCACGCGTTCCTCCAACAATTCCACTTTGGAGTGTTTTACAGTTATCTTAAATTGAAGGAACAGGAATGTCGCAATATCGTCTGGATAGCGGAATGCGTCGCGCAAAAGCACCGTGCTAAAATAGATAATTACATTCCCATTTTTTAATATGTTTATTCGATGCTGATGATTTACGATGTGTCGCGCAACAATATCATACGAGGAAATACATCTACTTATTTTTATTCGTTAACCATGGGCGACTACTATAATTCACAGTATTTTTTACCCGAACGAAAAAGGGCAGTTTCAACTGAAACGTAATTATTCATGTAATAATAATTACAACGTTCTGGCCAGATTTAATCAATCGCATTCGAAATTATCGCCTAGTATTATTGTCACGTATAACAAGAGTTTATATCAATATAGATGTACATAGTGTATTATTGTAGACCAGTATATTATGTTTGA